AACAGGAATCAGAAATAGTAGCATGAGAAACTTAGTGTTATGAGAAGCTTGTGCTGTTAGCTAACTGCAAGTAGGTGGACCGTGCGAATACGACCTTTAGAGCTTAAGCCAATCAGCTAGTGACTAGTAGGCATAATAATTATCATTGTCTGTATACATATATGTACCCTGGACCAATAAACACACACGGTGATTGATGCTCTATCTTTCACACTGAACCCGTCTCGGCGTGTCGTTCGTCCGCGGCTCCGCACTCCTCCTTTTGTTAATTTTCTTTTTTAATTTGTTTGTGGTTTGAGGGTTCCGTTTCTCCCTCCCCCCCTCCACCTTTGGAGATGCTCATTAACCTGCATAGAGTATAACATCACTCTCAAAGGAAGAAATGGGGACGAGAGGGAGAGAAGGAAACAACTTTCTTTTCAACACCCTATGATTCTCTTTTCTGCACTAGTTGTTCGCCCTGCTCATCTCGCACATCCTTTTTGGACTGACTTTTCTATGCAGGGGAACTCTGAGGCTGTCTCTCAGCAGCCATGCAGTGCATAGAGCAATGGATCTGAATTGCAATACTTTATTGCTAATGTGTGTGAATAACTGATAACGAAGCTTTGAAAAGTGAACATGGCTGTGTTTCAGAGGTACCAAACACTCCCTAGCTGCCAGTGATCCCAGGTAAGACGTGTGGGTACTCAGCAGCTCTGAAAACTGGTCCAAGGGGTTTTTGGGTTCATACTACCTCCATTCTTCTGCTTTGCTATCTGTGTGCTCTGTCAGACCCACAGCTAGCACCAAACCCAGGCATGTGCTTTCTGGGTGAGAAGTTAAATATGATGATAGTTTCTTCTGAAAATAACAGTTAATCACCTTTTTTAACCAAAATTGAGACATGGTGAGTTGTTCTCACTCCCATTGAGATGAATAAGAAAGAACCTGTTGCCTTTAGTGGAGGAAATACTGCATACAGCTGTGAACATTGGGGCTGGGACAGTGAAGTTCTTCAGCTTGCTGTTCTGTCTCTTCTAAAAATTTGTAAATTCAGACTCTTCATCGTAGCAGAAGCCAAAGCTTTTAATTACTTTTCTGGAACAGAGGACAGAGCCACAGATGTGTGCTATGCAGGCTTAACACTGAGTCAGTAATATAAACCCTGGGTAATGCTAATGAGATAAGAAAGTACTAAAAATGTAATAGATTTGACATGTAGGAGTTTGAATTTAACTGAACATATCGGGTCCAGTGGGCAGGAGAGGATGATGCCTAATAATGCCTCTTCTTCTGAGATTCTCTCATGGCATCATAACAAACGTATAATCTGAATCCTGTGGGGAAGGCAGAAAAGGGAAACTTAAATTGGGCTGAGTTCTGAACTTGTTATTTGAGAATAACTTCAGCTGAGTAACGAGTTTAATTACCTGGGACTTGGCTTTGGGATAATGTATTTGAGCGGATGGACAAATAACTAGGAGTTCATTTTTCATAAACTCTAAAGGACTTACTGGAAGAAAATGATACAGGTTCCAACATATGTGGGAGGGGAAGCTGAAGAACTGTTATTTTTAGGGTTGTGCAGAAAATCAAATTTGTTTACCTGATTTCTTCAGGGGGAAAAAAAAAAAAAAAAAAAAAACGAAAAAAACCACAAACCTCTGAGCCAACTTGAACCAAGAAACAGTGTTACTTTTGCCAGAACAAAATCCCACATAAATTGTGGGGAAGAGGTGGGAACTAAACTGAGTAAACTGTGTTGCTTAGCTTCTCTAAAAACAGCAAAGAATTTAGCTAGCTTTGATCTTCGTGTGATTTAGAAATGGGAAATGAAAACACTTCTTTTAACAAGATTTCTTAGTTCAAATTCACCGCTATATCTTCACTCTTAGTTGAAATTCACCAAATGCAGTGAAGCAATTCCCCAAATTTGGCATGACCTCGCGGGTAGCTTTCACAAGCCGGAATTTTTCACTGGGCTATTGACTCTTCTTCAGATACCCCCTCACCTCTGCTTATCAGCAGAGCTTTCCAAACTAAAATTCGTCAAGTTTTAGTAACGATGAGCCTCGAGGTGGAAGGCAATACCCTGATAACGGGGCCGAGGGGCTTGCCGTGTGCGGCTCCGGGGGCCGGAGACCTGGGGGCTCTTCCCGAGGGCAGGAGCCCCCCCCGGCCGAAATCTCTCCGCGGGCCCCTCTTCCTCGGCGACTCCTGCCCGGCGGCGGCACCGACCTTCACCTGGAACCCGAGCGGCGGGCGGGGCCCGCGCTATAAAGCCCGTGGCCGGGGCGCGGGGGGAGCCGCCCCGCGGGGATCGGGCCGGGCCGGGGTCGGGTGGCGCCAGCGGCCGCGGGGCTGGGGGCGCCCCCTCCGCGCCCCGCCCCGCGCCACACCCCGCGCCACACCCCGCGCCACACCCCTCCCCGCGCCGCGCCGGCCGCAAAGGGACCGTGGTCACCCACACGTATGGGCACAGCGTGCGTAGTTAAAGGTAAGCTGGAATAACACGAGGGAAAAATAAAAAAAAAAAAAAACCACACAGCGAAAAATATATCAAAAAAGATGCTTAATATATATATATATATATATATATATATATAAAATATGATAATTTTCTAACATCAGGTTAATTGTGCATTTTGTTAACATTATTCTTTTAGCCTTCATCAAATACATGTGTGGTTCTTTGCTTTTTTAATTTGTTTTTTTTTTTCTAAACCTGTGTATGGGATACATCAAGAAGAAAAGCCTAAGGAAACTTGGAGCGTCATTTAGCACCTCTAAATCTTGCTTAGTTGGTGTATGGCATAATACATATGTGTATCTTCAGTCTTTACCATTATAATAATGATCATGTTATGTTTCTTATGACTGAGAGAGTTGGGGTTGTTCAGCCTGGAGAAGAGAAGGCTCCAGGGAGACCTTATAGTGGCCTCCTAGTACTTAAAGGGGGTACAGGAGAGATGGGGAGGGACTCTTTGTCAGGGAGTGACAGGACAAGGGGTAACAGTTTTAAACTGAAAGAGGGCAGATTTTTATTAGATATAAGGAAGGGTTCATTCACTGCCCTGTGCGGGGGGTGAGGCGCTGGCCCAGGGTGCCCAGAGCAGCTGTGGGTGCCCCCTCCCTGGAAGGGTTCAAGGCCAGGTTGGACGGGGCTGGGAGCCCCCTGGGCTGGGGGAAGGGGGCCCTGCCCGGGGCAGGGGGTGGAACTAGATGGTCTTTAGGGTCCCTTCCAACTCAAACCATTCTATGATTCTATGATGACTGTTCAATACATTTTAACCAAACATACGATAATGAGGGAAATTCTCTATTCTGTGATAGATCATCCATAATAATTTGTATATTAATGATCTAGGGATTTAGCATAAAAGACTAGTAAAACAGGCTACTGAGTTAGGTTCTACTGCAATAATTTACACTGTTCTTAATATCTTATTCAGAATAGCTCTTTATCACACCCTTATGTATTTTCTTTAGTCATCATATTTAAGTAGGATAATGTTGAGAACAAAATGTAATGAGTCATGGAAAAACCCACATATATTTGACTGTTAACTCTTTAAATATCTGCTACATCCAAATGTTTTGTTGTTTTTTTTTAATACAGGTTTTGATTAATGTGACTTTATCTCATAAACATACATCAAAGAGGAACAATGAAGGACTGTTTTGTAAATCCCACAGAAAAAGACCTCTCCGATCCTGGTAAGTCACAGGCACAAAAGCTCTGTGTGTGTATGTATACATTTGAGGAATATATTCCACAGCTCCAAATCTAAAGGTGCATTACAGTCTTCCCTGATTGCCATAGTGGTTTTATAGGAGATAACACAGTAAGTTTCCAGTGAACTGAAGCTACTGCCTAGAAAATGTTTATGCATGAATCATTCCACCAAGTTCAACACAATTCATTTACATGGATAAAACTATTTAGGTGGGTCCTAGCCTGGGTGTGAATATGCTCCTGAAATAAGCTCAGTAAGGTGGAAGCCCATTATTGTCTTCAAATAGTTGTCTAAACCAGTCTTTATAGACTGACTGACATTAAAAACAGTATGTGAAAAATTCTATTCATAGTGAGTCAGCAGTTAAGGTAAATGTAAATTGGGGGTGGCTGGTGTGTGGAGCCCTTTTCTCCTCATGCAGTTCACAGCTGGCTCCCTACTGTGGTTGCTCATCAGTTATTTTTATCCATTTATTACATCTGATTTTATGCATTTAGAATCATGAGCTTTTTGGGGTAGGATTCCTCTTTTGTGTAGATTTCTAAAGCCCCTAGCACAAAGGAAGTGGGATGTGTGGCAACTACTGCCATATAAAGAAATAATGAAGACGGTTATTACAGGCAAAGACATGATTCTTCAGTTAACTCACATCTATTCTGTGCTACCTGCAGCAATTATAGCCTTCACTATAAGCAATTCCGCTTATTTCAGTAGGGTTTCTCCTCCTTTGCATTCAGTTGTGTAGGTGTTTACTGAATGAATTAGTTCTTGCTTTTAGCCTTTGATAGCCTTTCTGTATAAATATATTTTAATTCTAAAAATTAAGTTTGTTTCCATCTCAGAAATGGAGCTCGAAGCTTTTTTCTGGAGTAGTGAAGATGTACTGAAGAGAAAGGAAGTTTCAAGAAAAATTCACCAGGCTGTTCCAAGAACATGAGAAAAACTCGGCTTTAAGCTTTAAAAGCAAAAGAAACAGCAGGGAAAGTTGCAAGAAACTGGTCCAAAAGATAGGTTATTATGTTTAAAAAAAAATAATTCTGCTTTTTATTTCACAGAATCTGCAAGCAAGGGATATGACAACCCTTCCTTCCAACATGATGAAAATCTTGAACAAAGTGATCAGTTAAAGCCCAATAAAAAAAAGTAAGTATTCTTTTAACTTAACACATTGGCTGCTGGTGTCCTGAGTGTCTGAAGGAGGTAGAGGGGAGGAGATTTTAATATGGCTTTGCTAGAAAAAACTCATCTTAATAGGTGTTTTGTATTTCCCTCTAGGAAGGAAAATGAGAAGCCGGAGAAACGGGTGGTTGGCATTTTTGAATTGGTTAGCGTCCAGTTTGATGGTCTGCTTTGTATTTTCTTTTCTTTCTTTGTCATTGTGAGCTGTTTATGAATTGCAACTAACAGGAAACCAAAAACTGGAGAAGCCTGAGACCTATTGATGCTAGATCTCTTTAAAATTTGGCCCATTAGGTCAGATTCCCTCCTCAGCATATCGGTAGAGCTGACAGCAGCGCAACCTTCGTGCTCTTGGAGGATGGAGCTCCCCCCTGCTGAGGCAGATCTAAGACATATACGCTGCACAGGCCCTTGCTTTGGCTCTATTTATAAAGGATTTAACCTGTGTTTGACATCTGAGGGATCTGCTCTCTGAGAGAACCAGGGATATGGTTTTGTGTCAGTTTTCCATACAACAGCTATTCCCAAATAATTCTTACACATGGAGTTGCTTATTTTGGAACAAGAGAAGTTCTATTAATCTCTGGTTTATTCCATGTCCATTTACACTTTGAAAGAGGGTTAGTACAGTCAGGAATAAAATGTTCTGATTTCAGATTAACCACATCCAGGAATAGCTATGGCAGTTTAAATTCACATCCTTCTTCAAACCAAACAAATGTCCACGGGTAGACAAGCCTTAAGATGCAATCTCTGCTGCAAACATTTTCTACTGGTAGATATAACCCAGGTGCTGGTCAGTAACTCACTCTTGTTTACGTTTCAAAGGCATTATCTTAGTAAATATGTAACTTACTGGAACACAAAATGCAATATATTGTACAGAGATAATCACTTAGAAACATGTACGATATATGCTTTGGGTTTTTTCCCTGCTGAGTTGGGGAAGAACCACGTGTCCTGCCAATTTTCCCTTAGCAACCCTACTGAGTACTGATTTAAAGATCTATGGGACCTACTACAAAATTCTTATGTCCTGCATTTACCTTCAGTTGGAGTGCTGTTGCTACTTAGGATACATAGGCAGAAATAAAGCATGTCCTATAAGTCTGTTGTACTGTAACAAATATGTGAACTGTCAGGCATAAATTAATTCTTTTTTTTTTCCTTTTTTTTTTTTTTTTAATGTTCACATAGTTTCATTATGCTGATCAGGTGGATGTCCTTTTGATGATAGTTGGTTTGATCGCAGCTGCTGCAAATGGTACTGGATTGCCACTTATGATCATTGTTTTTGGAGAGATGACAAACATCTTTGTGCTAAGCGGCATGAAATCAAATGTGTCAGAAGGTAAAAAGTTAAAATTAGTCTTCTCTATATACCAAATATGTTTTGCTACAGGGGCTAAGATTTTTTTCACCCAGACTATGCACCGGTGTACATCTAAACAAGTATATAATGAGTAAAATTCATCCTGCTGTAAATGACCCGATCATTTTAATCAATCTTTAATGGCTAGACCAGGGCAAAAGCAGTGCATTGAATGTGCCCTTTATGAATTAACTTGACTTTGGCAAGACAGTAAGGAGTATGTCTGCCTTCTGTATCCTTAGTGATTAGGCACTAATTACTAGAATTTCCTTAAAAATAAATGTGTATTTGCCAAATGATCTTGTATTTTGCAAAATCCCACTTGCAAAATACAAAACATTCCCAAGCAGATGACCCTAGATTGCCATGATTTATCTTCTACATATAGTACTTTCATAAATATTACTACTTTTCTTTTTTTTCCTCCCCCACAGATACTTCAGTAAACAGTTCCAGCTGTCCATCAGTTCCAGGCATAGACATAGAAAGTGAAATGACAAAGTAAGAGGCTTTTTAGTTATTCTGTTAACAGAGTATTGGGGGATTTTCTTTTACTGTGTTATCCCTTTGAGCAGAAGCCAAATGTTTGCCTTTTCAAGAAGGCTTCCCAATAATGTATTCACAGGCTTCAGTATTTACTCTGGTATCATAAATGAATACTAATTGTTGCTTTGTGTGTTGTAACTTCTCACAAGATACGTCATATGGCCTTTTGTTTCCTTATCACAGGTTTGCTTACTACTATGTAGGAATTGGCTTTGCTGTGCTGATCCTGAGCACCATCCAAGTGTGGACATTTTTGATTGCTGCTACGAGGCAAACAGCAAGGATCCGGCAGAAATTCTTTTTTGCAGTGCTTCATCAGGAGATGGCTTGGTTTGATACTACCCAGATAGGAACGCTGAACACCAGACTGACAGAGTGAGGGCTCTGTTAATTTTTTACTCCCCATAACTATGACATTTAAAAGAAAACTGCCATTTATCATTTATGGAATAGCTGATAGAGAGTTTAAAAAAAAAAATCAAAAAGGAAAAAACAACAACCGTCACCCCCTTCCAAAAATACATCCCTCCACAAAAACAACCAAACAAACAAACCCAAACCTAATGTGTGAAATATTACAACTCTGAGGGAGAAATTAATTCTCCTTTTCAGCTTCATTTGTGCAGTTTCTGTGATATATGCAGTGGAAGGGTTTTTTCAGTGAAATGCCTGATGTTGGCTTTCTGATGTCCATGAAGTACATGGCAGACAGTACTAAATAAACAGCTCTGCTGTCTCCACATAGTTTACAAACACTGAAAGCTCTGACATGTTATTGAATGGAAATAAGCTTGCATTTACATCCAGCCAGATCTCAGGCTGGACTCCATCCAATTAGTTAATCCAATTAGCTCCAATGGAGCTTTTCCATAGACTTAAATATACTTAAAGGTGAGGACTGTATGTCCCAAGATACAATGGGACTATATGCACAAACACAGATTTATTTTTTTTTTTCTGAATTTTAAGGTAGCCTTGGACAGACCTGTGTTCTGAAAGGTAGAAGAGAAACTTAAATGAAACCACTCTCAGCTCTAATATCTGTATGTGTTGGGAAAAGAAAAAGGGGAAGGAAATCTGTATGAAAAACAGAGGTTCTTCCAAATAATAGTTGTTCTGATAGAATGGAGATAACCCTTGATCTGATTCTGTAGCCAAAATTAAGAACATAAAATGCATCAGAAAGCTGAGAGGAAGGAATCATTTGGAGATGGTCATGGAAGGTGAGGAGGCTGTTTGGCTGTTTGCTTGTATTGCTCCATTTGGATGATAGATAAGGAAACTAGGTCATTTGTGACCTAGTGACAGGGCACAGAAACAGCAGAGAATGATGAAAAACACAGAAAATTAGTCCTAAAAAATAGGTTTCTGCTGTGTTTTGGCCACACAAGAAACTAGTGGTACTGTTCAGTAGCTGTGGTTAGGAATTTCACTGTGCCAGTTAGGAAATGGCAAAGCTTCTGACATTAGGCCACACAGCATGAAACAGAGGGGGAGGGAGATAGAATGAAAGGTATTCAAAGCTAACAAATCTTTTTTTTTTTTTTTTTATCATTATTATTATTTAAAGTGACATCAACACCATCCACGAAGGCATCGGAGACAAGATCTGTATATTTGTACAGTTTTTTGCCACATTTCTGGCAGGGATTATTATAGGATTCATCTACGGGTGGAAGCTGACACTGGTGATTTTGTCAGTCAGCCCTCTGCTTGCTGCATCAGCAGCAGTTTGGTCAACTGTAAGTGTGTGGGGATTAATAAACAAAGCAAACCAGAAAAAACATTATAACTTTTACACACAGGAAAAGAGAAAAGAATGGGGAAAACCTAGTGTGGTTTTTAAGCTGGGAGGTTGGCCCCATGCTTACTTTGTTTTCCATTCCTTCTGTAGCTTTTCTCTGGGGTCCCAGGCACGTACCTGTAGTTCCTATTCTTTCTGTCCACATACTGTCCTCGTGCCATGTGGCAGGAGGGTAATCTGCATTGGAGCATCTTCATCACATAGTGATTTCCTCATGCAGAGCACTGGGGAAGCCCAGGCACACGCATGTGACCCTCATCCTTCCCTCTTAACACAAATGCCTTTCAAGTTCTTTGCATCTGCACGTATATGATACCACATCTCTTGCAAATATTTTCCCAAGTTTCATGCTGCATACAGAGTAGAAGCTAGGATATATACAGCTGCTGCAGACTGGAGTGATATGAATTAGTGAAATATCTGGAGAGGTTTCCCTTTCAGATAGGAAAATATTTTTCCCTTGTGATCCATTATAGCCACATGAATGGATATGGCTTGTATTCCTGAGTGGTTACTTATCTGTAATACCAGGATTTTTTTCTACTTAAAGTATTTCAAATGAGCTAGGAAGAACATTAGAAGCTGTAATGCAACTACCTTGCTTACTTCAACGTCTACTGGTGCTCTAGTTTCTGAACAACTCAGACACCTCCAAAGCAGCTATGTCACACTTCCCTGGCCCCACACACATCATAGTGTAGTTTGTAGGCTGTCCTCAGCTTGGGAGGAAAGTGGATCAGTCATGAAGCTCATCTGATGTTCATGTAGTCTTTCATTGGAATGAGAACACAATGAGAGAATAAGCTGTATTTTGGGGAAATTCAGGGCACAGAGAGGAGTTGACCCCCTCTTACCTAAAACCTCATTTTGTGCCTTGAGCACTGATCACACTTATTCACCAATACAATTAACATACTTTCAGTAGTCTGCAATAACATCTTTTTTTCAACTTTCCAGCTCCTGTCATCCCTTACTGCTAAAGAGCTGTCTGCTTATGCCGAAGCAGGAGCTGTGGCAGAAGAAATTTTGACAGCAATCAGGACTGTTGTGGCTTTCAATGGACAGCAGAAGGCACTAGCAAAGTAAGATTTTTAAAATAAAAATTGTATTTAAAGTATGGGAAAGGAGTTTGGATGTGGGTTGGGTTTGTGGTTTGTATGGGAGGGATTGGGGAATGAGATTCTCCTTGGTGTCATTTTATCCTTCTGTAAGTGGGCAGCCCACCTGAAAATAAAGCTGTGTAAATAGACCCAATCGGTGAATACAGGCTACTTGGTGTTACCACTGCAGCATAGACTCAAATTTCTCCTCTGATTGAGATCTGGAGTTGAATTTAAAGTGAAAGTGGTGGGAAGGTTATATTTACCTAGTAGTCAAATGCAACAAAGCATGTGATTAATTGCTTAACTTCTAGAACATGTGCACTGCTGTTCTGATCTTTGATTAATGAGCTTATATTTAAGCTTCACTGGGTAACAGCCTTAAGTAAAATCGCATCACTGGCTTTTATTACTTTAATGATTTGAAAATAACACTTGTAGTTGACCTAATCCAGTGTTGGCCTTAGTCACATGTAAAAAGTGAGGTAGTTATGGCTGAGCACAAATTCCTTCACATATGTATCGGACAATTCAACAAGCATATACAATAACATTCAGTATACAAATGCAGGGCATCACCAGTACCATGCAGGTGGGAAAGGCAAACCAGAAGACCTGATCCATATGATCCACAAATCTCTTTTTCAACACACTCATGTTTGCCCTGGTTTTGTGAGAAATTTCAAAGGCAATGTTAGCCCTAGCTCAGGGTCCTACAGCCTGCTCCTGCAATTCTCTGCTTCCAAGGAATGAGCTCTATCTCCTACCACTGTATTCTGCTTACTGGGATTTGTCCTTAAGTTACAACAGTATTAAGACCCTTTCTACTTACACAGTAAAGGCAAAAAAGCCCTAAGATGACCTAGATCAGTTCTTCTCCCCCTCGTCTTCTTTTTAGTCCCTGCAAATACCAGTGTCCGAAAATCCAGTGGTAGGAACTGCTTCAAACTACTTTTTCTTCTTTTTTTTTTTTTTTTTTTTTAAGCTCTAGAGGCAAAATAACATATACCTAGGTAACTCAATGCCATTAAGGCCTTTCCTTTCCTCCATGGTTGACCAGTCAGCCTCTTCCACAGCTCCACCTCCACTTAATGTAAAAAAAAAAAACATGGAACCGGTGGCTTTCTTAGGAACAAATACAGTATTGATAGCATGTGAGCAATTTACATGAACAAAATTAATGTATATTGTTTTAAGATTCCTTCCCAGCTGACTGCATTTCATGTCTTCCTATTATGAGGATGTTTTGTATAGAAAATATGTATTGGGAAAAAAGCGCAAGCTTCTGAGCCTGTCACTGATGAGTAAAATGATAAACTATTCCTAGGCTATACTTTCCATAATGAGCTTGAGTAAGTGAAAGCTATTAGCTGGAAACTATAGATGAATAAATATGAAATATCTTTAGAAGAAATGTCTCATATTGAACTTGTCAGTCTTTATACTGGTTTTCCATGTCCACTTGTTTGCTATATTGCTATATTAATGAGTAAACTAACCTAAGGGAAAGATTCCTGACTTCCTAGAATGGCCAGTAAGGGAACTTACTGGTGTCAGAGGGATTTCTGGCTTCTATTTGTTTACCTGCCTTCATCCATAGTGTCTGGGGTTGGTTTTTTTGTTTTGTTTTGTCTTTTTTAAATATGGGATACTAAACCTTACCTTTGATAGGTAATGTTGATAAAACTTTTTCATGGTGTCCTTTAAGGACTAATGCAAACAAATGACTGAAGAGTGGTATGGTATCTTCCATCATGATAACAAAGTCATGATATTCAATTGTTTTCTAAATATGTCTTCCATAGCAGTATGACAATGTTATCAGCATATGTAAGAGCAGATTTATTCAAAGCACTTATATCCCTACTAGTCCTCTGTCAAAAAAAAAAAAAAAAAAAAAAAAAACATATTTATTCCCTTTGTGAGGCTTTAATTGCTTTTATGGCAAAAATTCTTTTAATTAAAAGAACAACACTGGGAAATAGCAGTCAGAATGGCATGTAGTACCTGTCAAATTAATGGTTTCCTTATCCACTTTCAGATATGATGCTAACTTAGAGATAGCTAGAAGTGTTGGAGTGAAAAAATCCATTACCACCAACACATCTCTAGGTGTTTCACAATTTCTTATCTTCGGATCCTATGCACTTGCATTTTGGTATGGAACCAAGCTCACTGCTGAGGAAGAAAATTATGACATTGGCCGTGTGTTAATTGTAAGTACAGCAATGAAGCTTTGAAAAATGATCTGTAACTTCAAGAGATTTTTTTTATGTAGGTGATGTATATAATTATTTTCTTCCAAGTGCTTGTTAAATTAGTTGTTAGAGACTCGCTTGGCATAAAACAACTGAAAGGAGGGCATTCATCTTACTTAGCTTTTGATACCACAAGTCTGAACAGGGCACCTTGAATTCCCACTCTAATGAATGTAGAGGCAAAAATATCTGCACTTTTCTCACTTGTCTTGAACCCTATAGTAGGACAGAATGAACAACCTACAGCTGGTGGTTAGGGATCAAATACAAGTAACCTGGACTGCCAACAAAATTCTAGGTAGATGCTAGGATTAAATGACTCTCACTGGTGTGCTGAATATGTACTGGGGAGTCCTCAACATCTCATTTAGCCACGATGTCTTTTGTGCATTTTGTTGTTTACTTACAAGAGTTTACCACATATTACCAGTATGTCTAAGTTGATAATGGTTTGGGTATATTTAGCTATCTTCTTGCTGTCAAAAGTTTGATTACATGCTTAACTTTCCCAATTAAATGACTTCTGATGAGTTCTCCTCGGTATAGTTCCTCACTGTGTGTCAAGTTAATTGTGTGTTGGTCCCACAGGTGGCATTTCAGTTAAGAAAATCTGGACTAAATTTTGCAAGCCTCCTAACTTTGGGAACATCTGGAAAGCAACAGAAAGATATTTGTTCTATTTGTACATGATAGAAAATGCAAGAACGTAAAAAAATCATTCATGCCACAAAAGCATGTGTCAGTAGTTACCATTCACCCCAGAAAGATGGGGAGTGGACAGAAGAAACTGTGAAATGCACCTTTCAGTTTTGTATTTAATTTTCCTGGAAAGGGTGTAGTAGAAAGACTTGGGCATTTAACAGCCAGGCACGGGTGGCTCTGTAATCAGTTAACCATGATGCTTCCCTCCCCCTCCTGCAGGTGTTTTTCTCTGTGTTTATCGGAACCTTCTCCCTGGGCCAGGCGGCTCCCAACTTGGAGAGTGTGGCTAATGCACGCGGGGCTGCCTATGAAGTATATCGGATTATCAATAAGGTTAGTATCTAAGTAAGCAGTAAATAAGCCTTTCAACTACATTTAATTCCAACCCTTCTTTCTTTTTCCTAGGGAGACATAAGAAAAACGCTCAAAAGGCCCTAAACCATAAATTCGATAGATGTCTACCACTGAAACCCATAATATTTCTACTCATATCAAGAAAACTGCATCTTTATTTGTTACAATGAATTCTTGGAAACCTGACGTGTATCCGAGATTTATAGATGAGGTCTTTCTCTAATATTAGACTTGCAACTCCAGAGGGAAAATTGTAGGAAAATACTATTTTTTAAAAAAATGGATGTATGCACAGTTTCATCTGATCTGTTTTTTTTTTTTTCACGGGGTGGGGGTGTTCGTGAGAAAGGCATTAATAGTGAGTGTTACTGAAAGCTAAAATAATACAAAACTGCAGTGCTGAGATTGTTATTATCTTGATCTTGCCATGTTATGCAGCAATTGGATATCCGTGTATATAAAATAGTTTAAACAAGTAGGACTAGAAAGTTCATTCAGAAATGGCTGCATCATTCTTGATGTGAGTATAAAATCCTTCTATATGGATTACTGAGGACCATGTTTTGGTTGCAAGGTAGTACAGCTATGTTCTGCAATTACAGATTTCTGCTCTGGATTTTGTTGCATTTGAAAATGTACTATATTTGTCAAAGTAGAATTCAGTTAGATGTTTTCCTGTATTCAGCATCCTGAGAGTAAAATGCAGCAGCTCTGCAATGGTGTATTGCAATGTAAACCAGCAGCTGAGAAAGTAGAGAGAACAATGTACCCAGCTGAAATAACAGTTCCAAAAGTGTAATAACCAGTGATATATTTTAAAAACCTCTTTCCAGAAACGACTCATAGATAGCAGTTCTCAGGACGGCTACAAACCAGACAAACTCATAGGAGAAATTGAATTCAGAAACATCCATTTCAGTTACCCATCCAGACCTGATGTTAAAGTAGGTGTTCATTTTGGATTAATCTACTGTATGGAAATTCTGAAGCCTATGTCCATATTATATGTCCAATCTTGTTGTTGTTCTTGAATGCAAAATGCATTCTTATCTTGGGAGATGGGACATTATTTTCCACCCCGCAATAGTGCACAAAGACAAAGCTCTAGATTTGCTGCCACTGGCTACCTGCTCACCATTCTCCTCTGCTGGACAAAGGTAAGAAGAACATGTGTTGCTCCTAGTCTGAATTTCTGTGGGCAAGAACTCTGATAAACCAAATATGATTTTTCAAGTTCTGTCATTAAAAATTTCAGACTTTCCACAGTTAAACCAAGAAGTTGCTCTTTCCAGTCCCTTGGTTGTTCTGAGTTGCTGTGATATCCCATGTGAAAAATGACACATGAGATAGGCGTATTACAACAATATGCCATCAAATGGATTGAAAAATACCATTCTAAATATATCTTTGGAAGTCAGATATTATCTTGGGCAGATGTTAAAATTACTGTTCAACAAACTGACGTCCCTATTCTTTGCCAGTTGAACTTTTTTTAGTACCCTTATTTTGCAGTGCTGCATACAACATGTCATGGTGATTATGTTTGTGGTGACATAGCTGGTTTTACCTCTCTACTATATTCAAAAGTTTATAATCTTATGAAGACCTTGATAAAGGTGAAAGGAAAAATTATTTACTGTTGTTATTTTATGAAGAAAAAGGTAGAAAGAGAGATTTTAAATATCAACATTTAAAAGCTGGACATGCCATTTAAGTGGTGAGAATAGGAAAGTTCATATCACTATGGCTATTTCTTCAGATGGCTCGTCCTGCCTCTGAGGTCTGTCCCATCATGCATCAACTCTGTTTCCAGGACACTGGGGCTGCTGAAGGACAGACCCAGAGCTTGGCTTTCAGCCTAACTGAAGTCAGTGCAATGCATCTTCTTTCACTCTTGGCTCAGAAATCAAAAGTGACAGAGCAGACTCTTCATCCTTCTTCCTAAAAATTCTATGCAGGCTGATGAGCTATGTTACGGGTCTACACGCCAGATGGGAGGGAAATAAGGGATTTTTTGTCATCCTTCCCGAATCTACTGAGTCAGCATCTCTCCCTCCTAAGACTATCAATGTTATTTAATAGAGCCAAAAGGAATCAGCAAAGATGTGTAGAAGTTATCCACTATCTCTAAAGCAATTGATGCAACACAGCGTAATCTCTGGTGTCCAGGCTAAACCAAATCAAAGAGATCTAAGGAGTCTAGTTATTGTCAGTTTTAATCTTGACAACACCTTGTCCGATAAGAGAGTTAGAAATACTCTATTAGGTGGTTGTGACTATTTTCATCTGGAGAAATTATGGTATCCAGAATATAGTTCTTACTTGATAATGCAGGCACCAGGATATCAGCTTCTTGGAGATACAAGCCCTGCTGGATGTAACACTGGGATAGGAGAGCAATATTGCAACTATTTTAATCTCTCATTGCAAAAACATGTGTAGGCAAAATTATAAATCAGCCTGGTATAAACAAGAAGAGTTCCCATAGCAGCCAAATATTTTGGCAACTACACAGCATTACTCGTATATGACATGGACAACTTTTGAGGTAAAATGTTCCTAAATGTGAAAATGGCAACAAATATATCATTAATCTGTAACTACTCCTCAGGTTGCTGAAGATGTTAGCAATAAAGATTGGGATTTATTAAGGGCTTTCCAGCAGTTACCTTGTCAAAACAGCCATTTATATTCTAAAAATAGAAGAAAGCACCCTTGTTTCTCAATAATAATACTTAGCACCTTAGAAGTATTTTTCTGTGAGATTCATAACTAAGTGTTATGCCATTGTCTAAGCACTGGAAAATGGAGGACAGCAGGAGAACACAAGACTTTGAGCCTGCTACCAGATCACACAAATTGGAGAAAATGAGCTGTTCCATTCACAGTACCATGGTTGTGTCTATATTAGTTGATTTGAGTGTGCTGGAGAATTTTCCCAGGCACTGGAATGCAATGGTCTATGCAAGGGAACTCTTAAAATGTTTCTTGGCATGAACTTGGTCTGTTCCAGTTATCAATCTTCTCAAATAATTCCCAGGCTTGGTTTGGTAGCCAGAAGGATCCAGGGACCATTCCCAAAAGGCAGGTTGCATGTAACCATCCTGTTTTGAAGGCTAATACACTTCACAAGCATAGGTGCAGGCTCTTTCATATCAGCGCCCCAGAATATTCCCAGGTATAATTGCCATACCTTCAGACTGTGCCCCTTACTACTGCCTGATTATTGCTACAGTTACCTCTACAGACTGTTTTCTAATCAAACTTGACAAACTAAGAGATATACTTTTTTATTTTTTATCCCCAGGTCCTCAAGGGTCTAAACTTGAAAGTTCAAACTGGGAAGACCATTGCTTTAGTTGGTGCCAGTGGCTGTGGAAAAAGCACTACTATTCAGTTGCTGCAGAGATTCTACGATCCTGTCCAGGGAGAAGTGAGTGCCTGAAAGAGAACTGTAAAAATTGAGAACTATTAGGATAAGCATGAGTTTGCCATATTGACTGAACCTTGGCTTTTAATTTTTACTGAATTTGATCATATCTCTGCATAGTTCAGCATTTCCACAATTTAAATTTCAAATTTACTATCTTTTCCTGTTGGCTTGACTTCATTATTCTCCTCCTTGTTGTGGTACTGTGCCAGAAGTAGTAAATACCACAAATCTTTGAACAGATGCAAGATCTGAATTTAAAATTATTTTCATCAACCACTGACTTTTAAAGTTCTGTAAATTTTTCTAAGCAAAGAGTGTTCTTCTGTATTTTGCTTCCTTTCACTGAACACAAACTAGAACATAGAGAGACTTTTCCTATTTTAAATGGTTGTTTTCTTGGCTCATTTTTCTCTATCAGCTAACCCACAGCAAGTTTCCATCATTACACACTGTATATCTTCCCTACCACAGAACACTAGATCTGGTCAGTAAATGGTAAATGCTTCTCATAAGAAACTTCCAAAGGAAAAAAAAGGAGAAAAATAAACAATATATTTTAAAGGAAATTATTCTTTTTAAACTTAATATTTGAAGAATGATACTTAGTAGTTGTTACTGCTGGTTGGAACTAGGGAAGCATTTCAAATATTAAATGCTGAACTATCACTACATAATGTATCAAGGCAGCTATCTATTATCAACACAGTTGTTTCTTAAACTTAGTGTTTCTGTGGCTGTTCATTCCTGCCCACATGCCTTAGTTTGCTGTTCCTCCCCTGTGCTAATGTCCGTGTTTGTAGGACCACACTGCAAATGATCTAGGTTAAAAATAACTTTCCCTTCCTTTTTAGTCAACTTGGATTATTTCTTTGACCTGGCGTAAAGCACAGCCACAGAGGCATTTGTGCAGCCACAACTGTGAGGGCAGCAGACTGGCACAGGGACATGAGAAAAGGCTAAAAAAATGTGCAGGGAATCTGGAAAACTCTTAAGCCAGTTTGGACAGCATGTTTATTGGTAGGGCAGAGGGAACGACACCAACAAAAGAACTCCTATATCTTCCCTGTTTATGTTTCTCCTCACCATTTTCTAGCTTGGGCAGTGGATGGAAAAGCTGCAGTTGTAACTCCTACCCCAACACAAGTTTCTATCAAAGACAACAATTTTTTTCTTTATTGTCCTTATAGCTGATACTTAAGTCAATAGTAAATAATAGATTTATTATAAACAGAATGCATTTCATCAACTTCTTTGGCATACGCTTTTCCTCCCAGATTACCTTGGATGGTCAGGATATTCGGACACTTAATGTAAAGTGGCTACGAGAAAACATTGGTATTGTGAGCCAGGAGCCTGTTTTGTTTGCAACAACAATAGCTGAGAACATTCGCTATGGCCGAGAAGATATTTCTGATGTTGAAATTGAGCAAGCAGCCAAGGAAGCCAATGCTTTTGACTTTATATCTAGACTGCCTGATGTGAGTTCATTAACTTCTTTTGAGTGTAAGAACGAAAGGTCCATTTAGGCTGGTGTCTTGTTTCTGAGAGGGAGAGCATGGGAATTCAAGTTGTAGTATAACTTCCCAGAATAGTCTCGTATCCTCCAGCAGCTATATGTCAATGTCTTAAGTCAGGAGAAAGGAAGCTTCACAGCTGTGTTACCATCCCTACCCATCTCACGAGGCATGGGAAGAGTTGGGCTTTTAGAGAGAAGATCCAGAAATCCAAAACCCTTTGTCAGGAGCTGTCTGCACAGTCAATAGGAAATGGGAAGTAGAAATAAATAAGTATACCCAGAGCCAAGGCAGTTTTTAGCAGCTGGGATCTTGAGCTCTCTCTCTGAGTGAGAGTCACAGCTTTGAGCCCTCTCCTAGCAGTAGGTGCGTTATTCCTTTCAGGGCAGGAGCAGAAAGTGAGATCACTCATTCAAAACACATCCTCAGGAATGGATGATGATATGTCCTTTCTTTTGGTCCTGCAGTTAAAAAGATGTGGTAAAAATTCCCTCCTGGGATTTTATTTCAAATTCTTCTACTGCTTCAGAGAGATCAGCCCCCATCTCTCAAGAATATGCCATTTCTAGCGTGTCAGTCTGTTCCAAGCTTCCTTCTTCTCAGGAAGAGTTATTTGATTACATTCACTCTTAAACAGCTATATAATAAAAGATTACAGTGGACTTTGAGACTCACCACTTTGGAATGAGTGACACAGTAGGAACCAAGCCATGGCTCCAAAGGGAATGTCTCAGATTCAGAGGAGGCAACATTATAGGTCCTAGCGGGTCCCTATGATCCCAACTCTGTTGGAAAGGTAGGCAGTCCTCGGTAAATACAGAGATGCCTTTTACGGGCTTGTCTTGAGAAAACACGGGGTTTGGAGCACTCTCTGATCAAGCAGTAAATAACAAGACTTTAAAGAATCATAAGTTCAAAATTAGGCATGTAAAGTATGTAATAGGGGTAAGAGGGCTTGGGCTGGAGGGCTAGATGGATGGATGTAGTTACATGTTTGCTCTGCCCATGCTGAAGTCAGCTGCATAAAGCTATGTCTTGTCTAGAAGCTGAGTACGCACAGAGAAATGAGGATTTAATGTGAGACATTCTACAACTTCTGTTTTGTTTGCTCCTTTCTCAGAAATTTAACACCATGGTAGGGGAAAGAGGGGCTCAGCTGAGTGGAGGACAGAAGCAGAGAATAGCTATTGCCCGTGCCCTGGCAAGAAATCCCAAGATTCTTCTTCTGGATGAAGCTACGTCTGCACTAGATACTCAGAGTGAATCCATAGTGCAAGCAGCTCTTGATAAGGTGGGAGTCATGTTATTAAAGCTATCAGTCTCCATGAAAAGGTGTAACAGTGCTTTAAAAAAAAAAAAAAATAACATACAATTTTTAGTGCAGGTTTCCACTGGAATCAAGAACACTGGAAAATTGAATTTGGATGGATGTTTCCATTTTCTGTTTTAACAGGGAGTTTAAATGATAAAAATTTTACTTAGGGATCATGTCCACTTGGGAGTTTTTTAATGTTATTAGGAATTACCAAGACACTTAGTCATGTGTAACTAACTTACTTCTCCTGCACAACCTTCCTCAAATCACAGTTGTTCATTTGCTGGTGAAATACGGATAGTATCTTATCAAGTCAAGGTATGAGGACTGAATGGCTTTTTTTCAGGTAGATTAATAGAAATGCAGAGTATAATATTTTTACTATTTGTTCTTGACTGAACAGTTGCTTCATAATTTTCAGAAAGCTCTTGGGATTTAATCATTTTCTTTCTTTTCAGAGACTGAATGCAAATCACAGAACAAAAGCTGAGCCAGTTACAAACACTGACTTTCTGCCCCCCTTGTGTTTTTCTGTCAGCCCCACACCTCTAGGATGGGTGCTACTGTGGAGCAGAGCTGTCAGAGCTTGTACCCATGCCTCTGTCCCACCAGCTCACAGTCCCTTCCTCACAGCCCTCCTTCGTCAGCAGTTTTCACCAAGATCTAGTAGAGCCTAAAGGCTTTGATTTACAAAGAATTTCATGGTGGGATGAAATGCTTTTTCATTTAACTAATATTTATTTTAATGTATTTTTAAAAGCTAAGTGAAAAATCCTGCCTTTCATTTCAGTAGTTATGCACAGAGATATATGAGTTACAAATACGACTCAAGGGAAATACAGAATTTACCACCTCTATTGCTATTCATTTTAAATCTGAGGTAAAATGTAGCTGTTGGATATATTCATGTGACTATACAGATATTATTAGTATTGAGGTAACATGTGGGTGCAAAAATAATATTAATCTAATCTAATTTGTATATAAATTATATTACTGCTGTAAAGATAAGCACTAAAAGATTGCTGCTTGAGCTGTAGTTTAGCTTTCTTCCTCCTGTTCTTTAATTCCAGCTTATTGCTTCATTTATTGCATAACATAGAGGGAGATCACTCAGTTAAGGGGACTATTCTATATACTCTTTCTCATCCTTCAGCATGTTCCCAGGACACACCAAAATGAGACCTGAATCATAACTTTCTCACCTTTTCACAACTTTTTGATGTCCATCAACGTAATCCCCAAATGGGATTTACAAATTTCTTCTCAGCATCCCTGAGTGGAAAAAGTGGTGCTAATATTGTTCATTATTTTTACAGTTGAGGAGCAGAGATATTAACCTCATTAACAAATGCACACTGTTTCTGAGCAGTCACATGTAGATGCTTGTACTATGGGATTTTTCAGATAACTTTGCCATTTTTAAAGCATTTTGCTTGTTCTGCTCCCAGCTCCCAGCTGCAGTGATGAAGGCTCCACAGCTCTGCTCATTAGGACACAGCCATGAAATCTGCAATGAGGCAGAGCTCCTGTAACAAGCTTTGAGTAACTTGCAGCAGATCCATGAGAATTTAATGGCAGGTGTAGGGGAAGAATCCAAATCTCCATGGAAGCATTTGCCTACTGAAGCTGTCCTCATCTTCTCCATGCCTCTGTTCCTGTGCTTATACAATGTGAAAATTCTGCAGAAACCAGCTTCCAGCAGTCTCCTTGACTGCAGAACACATTTGTTGTGTGAGGTCCCCTTGGGTTTCTCCTCCTGCCCCCAAGCCACCCTCTGCTCCAGGCATCAGTGAGGAGGGAAGCCACTCTCTCCAGCAGCCACAAGCTTGCGTGTGAGAGCTGGAGAGGGATGGAGCATGTAACCTGCAGACCGAGGCTTTGGTGGCTCTCCCTGCCAAATCCCAGCAGGCCCCTGATTTGAGATGTAGCTGATTTCAAAAGACTGGGAGATAACTTTAGGGAGTGATTAAAACCCACTTCCAACCCCAGATGTGCTCCAATCCTCTACGCTTTCCTGCTAAGTTTTTATCAGAGTCATGCTGATGTTATACTTCCAAAACTATGCATGGACAGTATATAAAGAAAATATCCTTTCTTTGTATACTAGCTATCCTAGCTATATTTTGAGAAAGATCTAACTATTCTCACTGTATTTCCCTCCTGTGCGTGCATACACACGGAAACGCTCTATGGGCAACTTTATTTCAAGCAGTTCAAGTTTGGTAAAAAGTCAAATAACCTTAATTATAACCTTGAATACCTGCATTGCCTGACTAATTAGATTAATGTGGTTTTCTCTGCCTGAATTAGGCAATTGAACATATCCTCAGACACTGTATTAGAAGAAATAATTATTTTTAAAGTTTGGATTTATTTTATATTATAAATGCCTAAAAGAACTTTGATTTATTTCTGTGATATTTTTTTTTTGCATATTTTAGTATAAATTGCTTTTGTTGTTTTTCTGTAAGGCTCGGACTGGACGTACCACCATTGTGGTTGCTCACAGACTATCTACCATCAGGACTGCTGACACCATTGCTGGATTTGAGAAAGGCGTTGTGGTTGAACAAGGAACACATGGTGAACTCATGTTGCAGAAGGGAGTCTATTATTCTCTTGTAATGCAGCAGGTAAGGGCAAATCTTTTTATTTTATTTCTCTGTTTCACAAAGTTGTGAAATGCTGGTATGTGGAGCCATTTTTCCTCTGTAGTTCCTGCCTGTTGTCCAGCTGGCAGCTGCTCAATCACTCTAGTCTGGGCACAGACACGGGCTTGGAATTCTTGGGGCTTTTACCCATTAAAGTGTTTCAAATTTATGCCATCAGATATGTCAAAAACATAAGTGAGTTGAAGTCACAGACTACATAATTACGGCATAACCACAGAATTGTTAGATTCCAAGTGGATTCAATAGACTGCTTAAAGAAAAAGAGAAAAAATGAAAAAAAAAAAAAATCAGGACCAAATACTCTACTGCTCTGCAATTGCAGAATGAAATATAGGTGGCCTATGGGCAATAGTGATCACATGATTGAAACAACAATATTCACAAGACAAAAATTTTACTTTTCCCTTTCCCTACTCAAGACACCTTGTGATTGTATATCCTGAATTCTCAATAGGGTCATAGTAATTATGTTCAAGATGATGGGACATCAGAAGGAAGTGAAGACACAGGGGCTGAGGAATATGAGGAAAATGACATAAATGATTTTGTGGAGGAGCTGACTCTTCAAGATCATTTTGAAGAATCGGTGATCTCTGGGAGAGGCAGCATTCGAAGAAGATCCAGCAGATATAAGAGCAAGAGACGCTCTTCTAAGAAAAAGTCCTCTGGGAAAAAGAAAAAAATAGAGCTGGAGGTTGGTATTAAAACTTTAGTTTAGAATTTTAGTGATAACATGTAAGCATAACCACAAAACACATAATTTTAATTACTTTTAGATAGCTGGCTGCCATGCAACCTTTACTCTGGTGCTATTACAGTCAGTACTCACCAGTCTGAGATTTGCCTAGGAATATGGGGATAAGAGCATACTTCTTACCAAAAAACTTCATTTTAACACTATTGACTTAGTGTGGAGCTGGAAAAAACTTGTGCTGTTGATTTTTCATTTCAGTGTTATTGAAATTTTAATTCTGTCTAATTAAAACGAGCTGTGAGATTTCATTTGCAGGATTCTTTACTTTGCTGGCATTCACTTGCAAATACTGGTGCATAATGTAATCCCTGGGGTGTGCATACCAAGTTTTAAGGCACTGGAATATCATGCTGCATTTATGTCAGATGAAAAAATATATCAAAACTCTAAAATTTTGAAGTGTGTTCTAAATAAAAGAACCATTATTCTCTCTCTCAGCCTTAGTATATGCTTTAAAACATCCAGTTCTGGAGGTTTTTATTCAGATAAAACACTTCAGTTGACAAATGTGTCATATAAATAAAAGTCACATAGGAAACTCAGTTTTTAGAAACAGAACTTTGCTTTGTCAAAGCTGAGTAAAACTTGCCCATGTCAATCAATAGGAGCAGATTTCTGGTGGACTCTGAATTAGACTTTGGGTAGGCAGCTCAATAGAAACTTGATTTTGTTTTTTCCTATTTTGTACAGCTTAAACTACAGCATTTATTTTACATTAAATATATTGGAAGAGTTGTTTGGTGTTTTGGGGGTTTGGATTTGTTTGGATTTGTTTGGTTTTGTTTGTTTTTTATTTTTTTAACTTGGTTTCAGCATCCTTGAAGCAAAAAAATTAAATGTAAATTCTGAAGTAAAACCATGGATCCTTTTAAATCTATAGAAGTTAGGAATTCATCTGTAATACAGCATTTGATTATTTAAAATACTTATGGAAGCCTTAGTGTAATTTGTATTCATCAATATATCTTCTCACTAAAATACAGCTTCCAGATAATACGTACTTTAAACAGTATGAAGGAGCTGAATCCATCCATATTATCACAAAAAAAAAAAGTTGTGAAACCTCAAAAGATACTTTTTGTCTGTGTATTAATACTGCTTAAGACCTCAGAGGAAGTAGTGGGTGTTAATGCTCAAGACTTCACTATTCATCACATTCACAAAAAAATTAAGAAATCAAGCATGCAACCGTTGCAATTATTTCAGAAATCTCAGCCCACTTTTATGGTTGAGGCTTAGACATGTTCATTCAACATCTAAAACATGGGATAAAATAACCAGGAAGAAAGAGGAACTTACTCATAATCCTGCCTAATATTTTGTCTCATTTCCAGTGTTTTCATTTTTTGCTTTTCCAAAACTCCCCCTGTGGAGGCATAGGCACTCGAGTAAATTAGAAAAGCAGAACAGGGCATTTTTGTACTTTCAAAGGAGATGCAGGCTGACTGTTACATATGCCTCTTTCATGCTTTTAGTAATGATGCATAGGCTATGGTTTGCAAAAGAGAAAGATGACCTCTCTACCCAACTGTATTATTGCCAGCCCACTAGTGTTTAGCTGAACAGGAGGGATCTTTTCTGTTCTCTGAACAGTGAGACTTTTAGTTCTTTATAAAGATTCAAGTGTTAGTTGCCACTCACAGTAACCAGTCCTATCTGACTTTCAATTAATTGTCCTGGCCCTTCTCCCCTCATGACTTAGCCTTTTGTTAAGTTTTTTGCCTCCAAACTTTTACAGTACAGTTGAAGTTCTAGGATATGAAACAGCAAAGCTGCAGATATCCATCATGTTTGCTCAGTCTGAGTGCACAGAGGGGGCTTTCAGTAGTTTTCCAAGACAGTGTGCTACTCAAAGCCTGATGAACACCCGCTGCCTGGGGAATTTCATGTTCTGCAACTTTCCAAGTCAAATCTGCAGCTTTCACTTTCCTGTAGGAAGAAAATCTCCCTGCTGTGCCTTACTCAAGAATTCTGGCTCTGAACAAACCTGAGTGGCTGTATGTACTGCTGGGAATGATTGCTGCTGCCATCTCAGGTGGGGTCCATCCTGCATTCGCTGTTATATTTGGAAAAATCATTGGGGTAAGTTCGGGGGTTTTTTGCAAAGGGATGTTGCAGTCCTGAACCTCCCTCAGGCTGATCCAGTTTTCCCTGTGTAAGACTCTGGGTGGGATTCACTTGTATAAATGGATGCAATGAAAAATGGATAAATGTTGGTGATGTGACCCTCTGGAGGCAGAGCCCAGTGGAACCCCATCTGACTAGCAGAGAAGAGGAGGAACAGTAACTGGAGCTGGGGGAACAAATTAGCAAGATGTAGGTTAAATGGAAAGCTGGACTGTCTTCTGGCCCTCAACAGAAAGTGGACTGCAGACTGATTTCAGGATCCAGGATACTTGCTAAGAGAAATTGAAGTAGACAAGCTTCTTGAGACGAAGGCTAGTTTATGTAACTGGCATTCATTGTCTACATACTTATTTTTGTGTCTTTTCTTGCATAGGCTTTTCAAGAAACAGATCCAGAGAAGAGGAATAAAAACACTTTGGTGCTTTCTTTAATGTTTCTTTTGCTTGGAGTGATTATTTTAGCAACACACCTAATCCAAGTAAGTGTCACTACACTGAAATGTTAGAAGTTCTTAACTTCCCAGTAGGCTGCAGGTATAACTCATATCAATGCAGTCTGAGAGGCATAACACCAATCAGAGCTTACAAAAACAGTCAGAAGTGCCAGGGTTCTTCCTGAGATATGTGGCTTTAATGGATGCGTCTACTTAAAGGCATAGGTCCATATTTGCTGTTGGTTTAAATAAGCCACTGAAGTCAATGTGGATTCATCATGATTAAAATCAAAGTTAAGGGTCTGGCCTTAAAAGTCAAAGTTAAGACTGACATTTCTCATTGACAATCTATAGGATCTTGCCAAAGTAAGTATAAAATGGACTCTTTCCATAGCAGATGGTGTTTTTCATACCATCAAGCAAACTCCATCATTTACTGTCCTCTTATGACCGTTCCACAGCTTGCAGGAAAAAGTTACTGCACATTGATGTCCATATCATAAAATCCACTGGTATGAGTTCTGTGAGTGAATCTCTGGTAGCAGTCAGAGTAGGGAGGCCAACAACTAGATAGGCTGATTTATCTTCTAGTGCTGCTGGAGCATACGGATAAGGCGTTACAAAGCTTCTGCCTTCTTTGCTGTGTTGCTTCCTTTCTGTGGGAAGTTTCAGGTTCCAGGAATGTGAATGGCACTTTTCCCAAGACTTACATACACACAAGGGGTTGTAGGAGACTTTTCGGTGTCATTGCTTTTGTTGTGCAGCTTTATAAACAGAGTTAAAACATCAAATGAGAAAATGTGACTCTCTTTCCTCCCCCAGGGATTCATGTTTGGGAAGTCTGGGGAAATACTAACAATGAGACTGCGCTCTTTGTCCTTCAGAGCATTACTTCAGCAGGTATGAATTATGCAGCTAGGGTAACATGAGAGCCAGATGGGTTTTGCAGACTGTTACAAAGTACACATTGGGTTTTAATTGTGTGGTCAGGGGAAAAGAAAACAAAACCATATCTCTTCTACCACTAGTTTAGGAAGAAGTACAATTTTTCTGAAAATCTCCTAATCCATGTGCAATTTGGCTTAGTGTTGCTACTGCATATAGTCTAATTTTGAAGGAGTGTCATTACAAATGTGCATATTTCTGGCATGCTAATATGTTTGTGCAAGGGTGACAAAAAAAGCTTAATCTCCCCTTGCTTGGGTGGTCATGATGCAAGTATGCAATATTTAGATTTATAGCAAATCTGTTTAGTTATTTAGATTTAAATCTACATACTGCAATCCATAGCAAATAGATAATCTGATAATTTTTTACTGCAAACAATTCATGTTGCACTATTGCATCAAGAATTACCCATGCGAAGAATAAAGTTACTTACATTAAGATCTTCCTGTTAATTTGGGTGTTTTCATGTTGCTTGCATAGAAGTTTTGAGAATGCATAATTTGTCACCCCACACACCCACTGGGTATAAGAACTCATGTGTTTATAGAAACTTCTCGAAGGGACTAGGAGAGGAAAAATCATTGATCAAAAAAAGAAACCTGCCATAGCTTCTGGAGGTAAAAGGGCCTCATTTCTTTTCTGTATGTACAGACACAAGTGGGGAATTGCTCTTCTATAGTTAATAGAACAGGTAGCTGATAAGAAAAAAATAATTAACCTCTTCAGGCCCAAGGAAGGACTGAGGAAAAGGGGTTTATAATAAAAGTTTCTAAATAGGCATGTTCAGAACATCACAACTAACAGCACTTTGATTGTGAACAAGTAGATGTTCACAACTGAATAATACTTTCTAAGCTTTTTCATTTAGTTTACTTGGAAGGTACTGACTACAGAGGAATAATATTGCAGTTACCCATCATGACTTGTACTTCCATTTCCCCGTATGCTACCTAAACTGGAAATGTTTGTTCATTTTATTAATAATCTTGATAAATCTGAAATATAATAAGAACATGTAATTTTTTGAAACAAAAATTAGTGTCTTTTCTTGCAGGAGGTTGGATGGTACGATGATCAGAAAAATGCTGTTGGTGTTCTGCTAACTCGGCTTGCTACAGATGCTTCCCAAGTCAAAGGGGTATGCTGTTTCTTTTTTGAGTGCTTTTTAAATATTTTTTCTTCCTTACAAATACTAATTGCAATTAGAAAGGGACACTGAGATTATTTCAGAACACAAGGTAATAAGTCTATCCCGCAGACTGGCAGATGAATTTACATAGCATGCTGTTGACACCTTGGAAATGGGTTCCCAGCTGATAATTTATGAGGACTATCAAAAATCCAGCAGATGTTCATGTACCTTTCATTTCCCTCCCTACAAGTCTTTAAGCTAAGTGTATAATAACTGTAGATCACTTCACCATGCAAAGCAAAATCTGCACACGTGCTAGCGACCAGAATCAGTGGACCCCAGCTTTTTACACCCTATGATGGGTGTCACCTGAGTGCTATGAAAAGGTTGCATCTGCAGATGATACAAACTCTTACTGAGCTTAATGAAGAGAATTCTTCTTCTCATCCCCACCAAATGTGCTTCACACACAAGCAGATCAAACAATAAGAAATGACCCACCATTATTAAAGAATATGGGGAAGGGTGATGGCTGAGGGAGGGTGATGGCCAAAGGAGGGAATGACTCAAAGCACTGGTATAGGAGAGGTGGCCACTGGACACTGGCAGGAGAACATGGCAAATTCTGGACAATTCCTCTTACTGCTCACCTCAGCAGCAGCCCTTGAAAACCTGCCAAATGTCTCTGTTTCTTGCCTGCTCCTCAATAAAAAAAAAAAAAAAAAAAAAATCACCGCAGCATTTTTGAGGGAGAAGTTTACTGGTCTGTTTTAAGATGTTTTTGTTTCCTGTAACTATGTACATCAAAAACCCCTTAATCCCTACATGTTTCAGTCTCCACAGACTTCTGTCTCTCTCTCCTGTCCTTCGTCCATATGGACTTGTAGTGAGAGAATAGTCTGTGACAAAACTTAGTCATTTTCATCTTTTAAAGTTCTAGTTTGCTGCAGTGGCATTGAACTATTTCACCCTGTCAGGACAGTAGAAAGGAGGGGTGCACAGGGTCCCTTAACCACAGAAGCCAGCTAAGGGCATGAATTGGTCTCCAAAGCTATTGTGTTCTCTGGAGTGCTACAGAGTTGTCAGCAAGTACCGTGCCTCATGCTGTGCTGGCTGAAGTTTCCAAATCCATCTTTATGTGCAGCCCCTGGAACATATGGCAACAATTCACCTTGGCATTAGTTTAATTATTACTATTTTAAATTTTATTGAACAAGAAAAGTCTTTTCAGGGCAGGAAAGTCTTTGGCAAGAGAGAGAAGAATTTTTGCTTCCCACCCAAGAATTTTTGTTTTTTCCATCAAGCCAAATTTTGGAAGATGAACTATTTCCACAGGGCTGCTTTCAGACCTTTTTTTCTGCGGATCAGAGCCCACCCGGATGCTGGATGGTAATCATCTCTCATTTTAAAAGTTCTTGATGAAAAAGTTACACAGGCTGGGAGGAGACAGGAGTTCTTCAATATGAGTTCATCTTTCCCACTCGCTATCTCACTGAGATAAAGCGTTTCTGCAGGGTGGCCAAATCCAGAGTTTTTTCTGAGTACCCAACCCCAGGTGCAGTGGTGTGAGAACCTGAGGATGAGTAGTTTCCACTACCACTAGTGGGACAGATCAATAGGTGACTATTGTTAGAATGAAGCCCCTCTTGCCTAACGCTGGGCACCCAAGCACCAGCCTTGCCCTCTTGTGACAGTCTTCCGTGCCTCAGGTAGTGCAGGAAGTCACATATTTCATTAAACAACTATCATGACCAACTGTTTAGACCCCCTTAACCTTGCCTGAAGCCTGAATGCTGGCAGGTACGAGGAATGTGTAGGAACAACTATGTAAGTAACTGCATAATGTCCCTGCACGTGACCACACACGGTTTCATTTTCCAGCTGAACCGCTGGCCTTGACTATATAAGTAATTTGAAGTGGTGATACAAATAAGAAAAAGAAAAATCTAATGACAGATATTTGGGGGTTTCTGGGGTTTTCTTAGGCAACTGGAAGCCGACTTGGACTGATGACTATGACTGTCTTTACCCTTCTGACTGCCATCATCATTGCTTTTGTATATGGCTGGCAGTTAACTTTGCTTATCCTGGCCTGCATTCCTTTCATTATTGCTACAAATGCTGCGAGTGTTAGGTCTGTGTCTGGTCATGCCGCAAAAGATCAAAAAGCTTTGGAAGAGGCTGGAAGAGTAAGTTCTCCAATTTTAACTACGGGGTTATGGTGTGAGATCACTTTTAAGGACAACATTGTAGCTATATTACAGCTGATTCAATTATCCAAGATAAATGAAGAGGGGGAGAGGACAGGACAGGACAGGGTGGGGGATGAAGGGGATGTTTATATATCCCCAAGAAAATCAAAACATAGATAACACAAAACATCTATAAATTAGGCTATAAAAATGCATTTGAAAGCCTCCATAGCAGATTTCTAGTCAGGGACAGCTGTAGCACCATCAGCCCCAGCACTGGCGTGCCTTGTGTCTAGGGCGAACAGCCTGGCTCTGCAATGCTCTGTGCTGTGGCCAGGAGCGTTGCACGGCTGAGCCATGACACTGCTGCTTTTTTATTTCATCATAAAATGCAAACCATGAATGTGCTCAGCAGTTTCAGGGTACTGCCTTAATTCACCTGATAGCTCTCTTCCAGGAGACACAAGTAGTCCGTGCAAAAGTGCAAGCAGTGCCCGGATGACCGGGGTTCGTTCCTATTTTATTAAACAGGTTTTAATTCATTGGGATCACAACCCACGGGTTAGGGCAGGGGCTGCTGATGTTTCCTGCATGCTGGCCCAAAGTTCTGAACTCAAATATATTGTTGGCTTCAGCCCCTGATTGTCTTATGACCATGAGGTGAATATTCTCATTGCACTGGGCTTTCCTTCCCCTGATAACAGACCTCAATCTCCTCTCTTAAGTAAACACTTTCTGAACTAAAATAATAAATTCTAGAGAAGAGATCAAGTGTTTAGGAGATATGTGGTAGATTGCAGTTGTAAGGGATTACCTCTTATTTGTTTTATCTCCCAATTTAGATTTCAACAGAATCAGTTGAAAACATAAGAACTGTAGCTTCACTGACCAGGGAAGATGCATTTTATGAAAGATACATTGCTAGTCTGAATGGTCCATATAGGTAGGTGGGTTTTTTTCTTTTATAATTCTTTCTTCATACATTTTAGTCTTTCAGATTTATTGTTAATGCATTTATTGCAAACTATCTAATACCCAAAAGATTGGGAAGGATATCAGTAGCCGTTTGCATAGTTTTTAAATTTGCTCACTTGATATATTTTAATATACATCCTTAAATGCAGAGTGAAAAAAATTTGCAGTATTTGCCTTTTCATTATGAAAACACTTTATAAACTGCATTCTCTGCATATGTGTTACAGAATATTACGTCTGTCTGTGTATGCCTAGAGTATAGGACATACGTTCACTACATTTCTGTGTATTGCATTGATACTAGTTAAGTCAGGAACTGACAGTTAACTCCCGTAACACACCCCTTATAACATAAACCAGTTTTATTCCTCTCATATGACTTTGAAACCTTGAAATGAACTTCATGTGTTTCCCTTGTTTGACCCACTACACCCCACTGACTGGTCTCCACTGAAGAGCATTCAAATCATCAGGGATGCCAGATTTTTCCAGCTCTATTTTAGTTAACATAGCCCAAACTCTGTTTCCTTCCTCCTCCAAGGCAACTAATGTAAAAGAAGGAATTGAAAATGATGCATTGTATAATCTGTCCTCGGCCAAAACAGAGTTAAAATTCGGTGTCTGTTGAACTAGTAATACCCCAGATATGAGCAGGATGCTCGCCTGGACTGTCAAAGGTCAGACTAGAAAGGAGATTTCCATTTCCTCAGAGAGCATCCTAAGCCATGAAGGCAGAGTCCTCCAGACTCTGATTCAGTGTGTATTCAATTAGCTACACAAAATGAAATTTCTCTAGAAGGACAGATTGAGAAATAGAGGCTTAGTCTGAATCCCTGAGGGGATACCCAGCAGTACGTCCCTGTTCCGAATCGGGATGAGAGGTCTCTGCTCAGATGGGAAACCTGGCAGAAGCCCGCAGGCAGCTCTTAGGCTGGGCTGGAGCCTGCTTGTTTTCTTAATAAAATGGGTTATATGCGGTAGTTATTAAATATTTTTTAAAAAAAACTGCTTTAGTGATCTGCCCTGCCATAGAAAAGCAAATAGATTCAAGATAGCATAACTGAGGATGAAGGATCTCATTGCTTTCTGTCCTAAGGGCAGTTCCATGTCACAATGCAGGGTGCTTTTAGGGTCTGGCAGGGGTTGGCTGTGAGTGTGCATGTGTTCTGGGCTGATTTGTTGTGTTTTCAAGGGGCGAGTTGTATTTCTTGAAAGCTTCAACCCAGAAATCTGGCCATCCCCCAGCCAGTGTATGTTGTTTCTGGTTTACAAGTTATTTATGGAAAGTCTCTTCCTTTATCAGAGATTCTCTAAGAAAATCCCCTTTCTATGGACTTACCTATGGACTAGCTCAGTGTGCAAACTACTTTATTGATGCGGCAGTCTTCAGATTTGGGGCATGGCTCATTGCCCATTGTCTGAGCAACTTTGAAAATGTATTTATGTGAGTATACTTTATAGGAAGATTTGAAAAAAACATATATACACGGGATGGTGATTTCAATGCTTGCAAATTATTTCATCAAATTACGAAGGTAATGGGGCATTCGAACTCAGGAATTCAGTCCGGTTGGGAGGGCACTTTGGACAGAAGGGCTGTTTGGGGAAAGTTGTGTATTTGGGAAGTGAAGCAGCAGGCATGTGGCCACGCTCAACACACCTACTCTGGAGAAGTCTTTGCTGTTCAATGTTTCTTCCAGGCAGAGGGTATAACACAGAGAAGTGATGTGACACCACTGTAGTTATAGGAACAAATAGAACTTCCTAATACTGGATGACATTTTGGGGGGTGAGGAACTCCAGAAACATCATAATCTAAAAATGCTAAAAAACTTTATTCTGAGGGTTTGTTTTACACATGAAGAAAACAATGCATTGTTCTACCTGAAATCAATGATGCTTTGTCTTTTGCTTTTAGAGTCTTCTCTTCCATCATATTTGCAGCTATGAATGTTGGTCAGTCTGCTTCTCTGGCACCAGATTATGGCAAAGCTAGACTGTCAGCTCAAAGAATCTTTCAACTTTTGGACAGAAAACCTGTCATTGACAGTTACAGTGAAGAAGGTGAAAAATTGGTAAGGGGTTTTTTTGGAGGGGTGGGGGCTTTGCATTTGTAGTTTGTTTTGGTTTGGTTTTTTTTTCAGAAAAAAATGTCAACACAAATTAAACTAGTAATATTTTATTGTCTGCAACTGTATTCATAGCTTCATAGTTGTTTACAGTGTCACAAAAGACAGACATTATATAAAATAGTGGTACAGACTCATTCATTTTTTCTAATGGACAATATTATTTCTCTTTTTCAGTCAGAAGGCTTAAATGTAGTTTTGCTTTGAATGAGCTAAAAAAATACTTGTCATTCTACTGACCCACATCTCAAATGGTTTCAGGAAAGCACTAACAAAGTCAGTTCCACTAACAGTTGCATGGTCTTTGTAAGGGTTTACAGGAGAAATAAAATACAAATGCATTTTTCTACTCTTTTTGTAGATGAGAGACTAGTTCCTTCAGATCTACAACAGTTTTACCAAAAGCCATCATCTTGTAACTGTGGAGACTAACACAAGTAAAAATATGCTTTTGTGAAGTCAGAACTAACTTAATGAATAATCTGTTTTGCTCTAAAGAGTAGGGGGAGGTGAGGGGGGAAGAGGGGGAAGACAACAAGGAACGAAATGAGAAAAAAAACTACACACTCAAAAAATTCTGAAAAATTCACTTCTAAACCAAAACTGTCATTAAGGAAACTGACCTCAGCACTTGTCAAATTTCTGCATGAAATGTTTTCAGTTTATGTGATCTGGAAGGATTACATTTGTACATAGCCCCTACTCAGGAAGCCATAATCCAGTTTCTATAACTTTAAGCTTATGCACAGGATTTTCAGCCTTTAAAGTTATGAGTACACTTACATATCTTCTTGAAGCAGGGTTCTCTGGCACAGATGTTGAAGGATTTGGCAGAAGGTCCCTGGTAAAATAAAACTTAAATTAAAATATTTCTAGTATAGACTGGACTCTAATACCAGTGATGCCTGTGACTTCAGCAAAGTAAAACTTTGAGCCATTAAGGACTCAGGGGTATTAGTGGGTGGGAAACTGACTGTGAGCCAGAAATGTGCCACTCACAGCCCAGAAAGCCACCCGTGTTCTGGGCTGCATCAAGAGCAGTGTGGCCAGCAGGCTGAGGGGGGGGATTCTGCCCCTCTGCTCTGCTCTTGTGAGACCCCACCTGCAGTGCTGGGTCCAGCTCTGGGGCCCCCAAAGTAAGAAGGACATGGACCTGTTGGAACAATTCCACAAGAGACCATGAAGATGATCAGGGGACTGGAGCACCTCCCCTATGAGGCCAGGCTGAGAGAGTTGGGGTTGTTCAGCCTGGGGAAGAGAAGGCTCCGGGGAGACCTTATAGCAGCCTGCCAGTGCTTAAAGGAGGAAAGCTGGGGAGGGACTCTTTGTCAGGGAGTGCAGTAACAGGACAAGGGGTAACAGTTTTAAACTGAAATATGGTATATTTAGATTAGACATAGGGAAAAAATTCTTCCCTGAGAGAACGGTGAGGTGCTGGCCCAGGGTGCCCAGAGCAGCTGTGGGTGCCCCCTCCCTGGAAGGGTTCAAGGCCAGGTTGGACGGGGCTGGGAGCCCCCTGGGCTGGGGGAAGGGGGCCCTGCCCGGGGCAGGGGGGTTGGAACTAGATGACCTTTAGGGTCCCTTCCAAACCAAACCATTCCATGATTAAATTAGATCATCAGCTGCTGTGAGAGCACTGTACTAGTGGTGCTGCTAATATGTACACAGGACTGGGTCCTACGCCAAAAGGCAGGAGATGCTTATTAAGGCTAATTAACAACTATAATTCCTTTTTAAAACACAGCTTGTCCTACATGCTTGTAAATTACCTATTGAAGAATTTAGCTCTTCTATTTTAATAGCTGATCTTGACCTTGTGTTATATTACTCCAGTTGTGCTACCTGCAGTGTGAGATCAGGAAAGCACATGTTATAGATTATATCAAGAGTAGAAATGCCTCAATGACATGTGTCAGAAATGAAAAATATTAACATTGTTTATTTGTCTAAAGATATTCTTTTTAAAGGTGAAGTGAGAAATAAGCACAAGATATGCAAAAAAACCTGTTTCTCCAGAGGGATCTAGCATCTTACATCTGCAGATCATCCCATAAATCATGATACTATGCTCGATCCAATATGTAATTTGAAAGAACTTCAAAAGCAGTTTTGCACGCACCCTCCCAAACTTTCTTGTCAGTTCTCTCACTTCAATAACCAAGTCTTACAAGTTGTTATAGCTAAAGCCAATAAATGCTAATATGAGCATGTGAACTCTCTATTACTTTTCAGAGCAATTTTGAAGGCAACATTGAATTCAGAAAGATCCATTTTGTATATCCAACAAGACCAGAAGTTCAAGTTTTGCAAGGACTCAACTTGAAGGTTAACAAAGGACAGACTCTGGCATTAGTAGGAAGCAGCGGCTGTGGCAAAAGCACATCCATTCAGCTCTTGGAGAGATTTTATGATCCTGTGGAAGGACAAGTGGTAAAAATAGACTTGTGTGGCTATTAGTAACAATCAAATCTACAGAACTTTATCTTCCATGGTTTCAAAGGTTTTAAACAACGCTGGCAATATCTCTGGCAAGACACCTTTTTTAGATGTGTGAGTTACTGAGGTTGTGACCCCAGTGGAGCTGCAGACAGCCTCAAGACCCCTGCCACTGACTGCCCCATACATTCACCACACGATCCAGCACCGGCACCCGTGTTGGTGCGCTGTGCTGGCTCAGGGCGCAGATCTCACTGGGGAAGGGAATGACCATGTCAGACTGTGCTGTCCCCCCAAAGCTGCTCACAGCCTGGTCACACAGGGGCAGAGCGCTCACACCACTTTTTTGTCAGCGTATAAGTCATCTCGCTGATATGAATTCACTCATTAGGGTCATAGATACATGCTTCAGATAACACAAATATAATCCCACAGAGATGTTGCTGCGTCACCATCAGAAGGCTGCAATGGACTTTTTGATGTATTCCCCATTAATGGGTATAGAAAGTCCAAAGAAACCTCCATGGAGGTTTTAAGACTGAGTTAAAGGCCTACAGCTGAGACTATGTATTGTGTTCAGCTTCTTAAGGATAGGTGTTCCAGTGAAGTTCCTGGTGCTTCTTGTGGTCAGTAGGGCTGGAAGGACTGCAGCAACAGCCTGGGATCTGCACTCTCTCTCTGTCTGCTGGGAAACTGAAGCAAAAACACACACACACAACTGAAAGCTAATGGAAGGAAATATTTCATCTATCCTGATGGGTTTTTTCCATTTTGCATGCAAAATTTACTTGATTTCAGCTGGTAATCTAACACGTAACAGGCTTCCGCTTACAATTCGTGTTTCCTGTTTACAGTGCGTATCTGTGGATGAGCTCTGTAGTTAACTTGGCATCATCTTTCTGTTGCTTTTTCTAGTTAGCAGATGGAATTGATACTAGATCTTTGCATTTACAATGGCTGAGGTCCAGAATGGGCCTGGTGTCACAGGAGCCCGTTTTGTTTGACTGCAGCATTGCTGAAAATATTCGATATGGAGACAACAGTAGGGTGGTTAGTCAGGAGGAAATTGAAGAAGCAGCTAAAGCAGCAAATATTCATACCTTCATTGAAAAACTGCCAGAGGTAAGAGATACTGATCTTGTCCTCACAGTGAGTTTAGTTATTTGGAATTATATGGAGAAATCTATGTAATGCTCACTTATATAGATAAACTAAAAATAACCAATTTTGTTTCCCTTAATGGGAAAAAGTATAGAATTTAGGATTTTAAATGTCAGTGTGTTTCAAGCTTAAAATCCTTCTTTGTTTGTTCAAAAAAATCCAATGTTTCAGTTAACATCATGGTAGACAAGGTAGAATATCATGGGGGAAAAATAAGAGGACAGTCTATGTACAAATAAGCCCTCATAAATTTTTTTATATTTTTTTCCTTTGACAGATGAAACTTCTCAAGTTACTCTGAGAAAGCTTTTTTTTTCCTAAAATAATTCAAAAACTAAATGCTCTATTTCTAATTGGATGAGCACACAGAGGAAGTGTTTCATAGCAAATACAAAAAGGCAATAAATCAAAAGTGAATGACATGGCATTTGACCTTCATGCCTGCCAAGAATTTGGTTCTAACAAGGAAAAATGCTTTGATAGTTTAACTGTAGTTCTGTATAACTCGAAAATGATGTAATGATGCTGAAAAATATTTAATTTTCATTACTACAAATGATGTCTGAGATTCTTTACTCGCAAGAAACTCAGATCTTCATGTATATGTTAGTAAGCATTGAATCTCTAGTTACTCTTATATGGTCGTGGGCAGATGTCTGTGGACACCTTACTGCTGTATCACTGGTGGTACCATTCAAGACTTATCCCAGTCATTGTGGAAGTAAATTTTCAGACCAGGTGTAAATATGTGTGCCTGTATATATAACTGTTTATACTAGAAGTGTTTATAAAATCCTAACTTTATTAAAACCACTTGCACTAGTCTTTTCTTTCAAGGTGGACATATGCAATCATTTTTATAGCCACGCATAAAAGTTTATCTTTCTAATCTTCCTTCTCTAGGAGTGTTCACGTGTCTTCTTTTTTAATTTTTAACATCCAGAAATATAATACCCGGGTGGGTGAGAAAGGAACACAACTTTCTGGAGGTCAAAAACAAAGAATAGCTATTGCCCGTGCTCTGGTTCGTAATCCTGCCATTCTGCTTTTGGATGAAGCTACCTCTGCTCTTGACACAGAAAGTGAACAGGTGAGCAATAATTATTATGTGAAATATACATGTCTATGTACATAGCTAGTTGCCTTCTGTAGGATAAAATCAATGTTGCAAATGCTCGGCTGTGAAACAACAGGGCAGGTGTATCATGATAGCTTTTCCAGCTGCAAGCTGTGAATTGAATGACACTGGGAAGCTGTGCATAACTATTAAATAAACAAGTAGAAAATCCTCAAACTTAAAGTAGAAAATACCATGGGGAGCTGGTACTCTTCAGCTGTCTTTCTATTAGCTTCATTTGATGGTAAATACTGAACTTGTGTTCTGACCCATACTGGATGCCCAAGAACCCACTTCTCAATATCTCATGCTCATTTGATCAGTCTCACTGGCTACACAGTGAGAAACCCTGTTGAGTAAGGGTCTCGTGTATGCAATGACTTGTGTATCTGTGGGTGATATATTCAGGTAATAACAAAGAGTAAGAAATCAAATGTGGTTCCTGTGACAAGTGAAGGCTTTCCAGGTGGTAACAGCATTTTTATGACATCTGTGTGCAGATCGTCCAGAAAGCTCTGGATAACGCCCGGCAAGGTCGAACCTGCATCGTCGTTGCTCACCGCCTGATGACCATACAGACTGCAGACATCATTGCAGTCATCCAGAACGGCAGGGTGGTAGAGCAGGGCACCCACAGCCAGTTACTGGCAAAGGAAGGACACTACTATGCCCTTGTAAATGCACAAGTTTCTAATAAGTAATTTGCAGATTTTTGTTTTTTGTTTTTTCTGGGAAGATATGAAAATCCTACAGAGCATGAACATTGGCTGTGTCTGTGTTGATGGAGCAGGGACCATGTGTTGCAGCCTGGTTGCTGTACTCAGTGCAGCCCTTGCCCCACACACCCGTGGGGTTGAGCGGTGCATGCCCTGGGGTGGGTCGTGGAAGGTGCACAGGGGAGTCCCAGGAGCTGAATCTGCTGGGCAGTTGTGGGGATTCTGTGATCTGGAGGGAGCCAGACCTGCAGTAGTCTCACCTACACCATGGCTTAGGTGGGGCACCCTGGTCTCACTGTCCCCCCCAAGCCCTGGCCCATACCAGGTGCCATAGACCAAGGCAGTACCAGAGCATGACAGTGATTAAGCATCATGGATAAGCAGTGAGCTGGTCCTTGTGCTTGCCCCTTGGGTTTCTTCACCAAATAGACACAGCCATAAAGTCTTCTTAATTAAAGATGACTCTCAATTCTTACTGATTGCTGAGATTCCAAATAAAGAGATTTGTATTAAAGAGAAGGGGTTGGATGTGTGGGTTAGTTGGGTCTTTTCCCCCACTTTATGCCACATTTCTAATATTACTGTGCTTCACACATTTCTTGGAGATTCAATATTCTATTTTGGGCGATAATTGTAATAGCTACAAGATTTCCATATAGAGATAAACTGACATCAAATATACCATTGTTTTGTTTAGTATTTTTCAATTGCTGACCTAACAGAGTTTAATCATTCTTTGCATCCATCAGGATAATTTCAAAAGTCTTGTGGGGGAGTTAGGATGATTTGTTTTGGACTGGACTCATGTCAGCCATGTAAATAGCTTTTCTTTTTTAAAAACAAACAAACAAACAAACTTAAAAAGTGGTTTTCAACATGAGATCCTTTATTTTTAATAGATGTGGTACTTAGGGACATGGTTTAGTGGTGGACTTGATACTGTTAGGTTAACAGTTGGACTTGATGATCCTAATGGTCTTTTCCAATCTAAATGATTCTATGAATAATTTTAAAGATTTTTTGAAGTGTTGGCAAAACTTGTTTATACATGTGCTTAAATAATTGGTTATTCCTCTGATATATTCCTCAGGGTGCTGCAATACATCTTTCAACAGCTGAAGAATATGTACTCTGTAGTCGGAGTGACTCAGCAGCTGTTTTTTTTGGCTGGTTAAACCCAATTGCAGCATTTTAATTTTCCAAGGCTTTGCACGTGGCTTTGGGTTAGGATTTATGGCCTGGAGCAACCTGCAATACTTTATAATTTCCAGATAACTCTGCTCAACTGTAGCAGAAAAAAACTTATAGTAATGACTATCTCCTTTGCTCATTTCAATTGTTTTCCGGCATCAGGATCCATGAGGGGAATAAAATGCACAAAAGAAAACAAATTCTGGTCTCAGCTTTGCCAAAATAAATACATTCACTCTCCCTCACACAGTTTTTCTCAGGAACTGTTACAGAAGGAGTTATCAGGCACCCCTCTTGTGTGACCTCTTCACTTTCTCATGATAGGCAGATACTGCAGGAGCTGCTGCACTTATTACATTCCCCATTATCTAATGCGGGCTCAAATTTATTCCCTTTCCCTTGGTTTGTCTCTGTAATGGAGTTAAAATTACACGCAGTAGAGTCTGATTCTCAGTTTTGAAAATAAAATATCTTCCTTCTTAATCCAGAAATCTTTTGGGGAAAGAAAGAGTTATTTTGTACTTTTGTGTTGGATGCATATGTGTTTTTCATTACACTTGTGATGAATAATAAATTTTTGTAATATTAAAATTTGTTGCAATCTATTGCAGTAACAAGATGAAGAAAAAATGAGAAATTAATTTAAATATATAAATAGAGGAGAAAACGGTCACTAAGTTAAGGTTCTGCAACATAATGAATCATCTAACATCTGGGGCTAGTTAGTGGAGCATCTTTGTAGAAAATACTGCATTCACATCCATGCAGATAATGGAGAAGAATACAAAACATGCTTCCTTCCCACCAGCTTGGAATTATTTACTAGCACAGGGTCAAGAGGAGTGAGGAATTATGCACTAATTGACCTGGAAGTTGCTGAAAGAGCTGCAGCATGGTCAGCCTAGAAAAATAAGTTCTGTGACTTGTGTTTCCCCTTATTTGCTCTTTCAGAGGTCAACATTGCCTACCATGGAAAGAAAAGTGACTGCACTTACATCCCTTTTGGCATGTTCCTCACCCTTGTTTACATAGAGCATTCTCATGCTGCAATAGCTGGACAGACTCGGTACCAGCTAAGGTTCGTTCCTGATGGAAAGATAGATGTGGGTTTTGGTTGGAGTGAAAAGGAGCAGGAGCCGATGCCGTGATGGGGGGAGAGTCTGTGCACCACTCTGGGCTGTGGCAGTCAAGTGAGCAAAGGGCAGTGTCTGACAGCTCTGCCTCTGCTCATAACTGGTTAAAAAGGGGAAATAGAAAACACAATTGACGTAAATTGTGTTGATTTACTTAAGTTCACAAGTGAGATGTTATGTAACGTACGATCGTATTTTACTCATCTATCTCAATACAAACTAAAAGCCACTTGTATCACAGCCCTTTTTAAAAAATCAGCTGCAGACCTAAGAAAAACACCAAAGTCCTCCACAACACAAAAGAGGTAGTGAGCAAGGAAACAGAGCAAAATCCCAAACATCTGTAAGAATGACAAAAGAGCACACTACTGCATACCTTCTAAAAGACAGACTGAGCTGAATGACTTCACTGACTATGAGATATATATAGACTGATATGCTCAGCTTGTAGGCACTAATAATAAACTCTATGCTCTGATGGTTTATTTCAGACCATTCAAGTCATCTTCCATGCTGGATATACCCATAGAATTTGCAGACTGGTAGTGCTCCAATTAAAAACAGGCCTAAAGTCAGAAACAAATGCACTTTTTATAAAGCACCTTTACAGCACCAAAGCCTAGACTGATAGAGAGATCAAAAGAATTAGCTCTGTCAGAAAAGAAAAACCTATGAGGACACATCTTAAGAGCAGAGGATTTGTTGGCCCCATCACTCTCTCTTCTGTGCTGCTGCCTACCCCAGGTGCCAGCGTTTTAAAAAGCCTAAGCAGGGGCTAGTGTTCACCCAAAATACCCACAACATGATGAGTCAGTCCTGGTGTCACTGGGGACCTCACCTCCAAAATGACTCCCACAATGATAATGATGAAGAAAACACATCAGCCCATGCTTGTCAAGGAACACCGAAGGCCTTGTTCATGACTAGGCAAGAAGCACTTAGCCCACACACTTACTTTATGCCAACACTGATCTAAGCCTCCTACGGAATTATTAAGGTATGATATCCCAAAAAAGAGTGAAGACTTCAGAGAAGGCATTCATAAGCGATTTTGGAGAAAGAATTTAGTGTTTCTTAATCACTTGACTCCATTGTAGTACCATACATAGCTGTTAAATTTGATTAAAACTTTGCAATCCTTAGTCTAATTACAGTGTTAGTTACTGATGCAGACTGAAGCCCCAGAGACAAGTAGTTGACAGAAACATGTGAACTAGAGGGCACAGGACTCAACTATTTTTATGGCCTCAAAGAGTTAATTGTCCTCTTGTTTGTATGATCATTGGAGTGCACCAGTCCTAGAGGGTGTGGATGTTTCCCATTCCTGGATGTGCTATTTCAGTTTGAAATACCTGTCGGAAATTCAGGAATAATACTATTTGCAAAACAGTAACCTAATATAGTGTTTATCATCACATGTTTTTTCCCAAATGTCTACTTTCCTCTGCAGCCTAACAAATTTCAGTGTATATTCATCTAAAACCTGTGAAGTACACATCTTCAAAAATAAGTTATTTAATAATGCTGGTTGTATGGCAAGAAGGAAAGCTTTCATTAAAATTGAAATTCACAATCCTTGTACTTTTAGAAACTATCTTTTTTTTGAAAAGTGAGGCGAAAAGAACAATTGGAGGCATTTTTTTAAGGTCGGCTGAAATACAACTACATCAGTGTGTACCTGGAATAGAATTATAAATTTAATTAAAATTCAAAGACTCTTCAAAATTCCACTAAACAATCTGTGGCAGTCAATACCTAACCTGTCCTTTCTTGGCTACTATCAACACACATTGTACCGCTGACATTTCACTTATATGTTTGCAAGTGGGAATGGGCTGGCTGAGGGAGAGCTCACAGCCCTCTTGTCATACCTAGCTGTAGGAAAATTCCTGTCACACTTGGTAGCGGGCCTATTTAAATGTTAATGGTCAGTGATTTCACCTAATTAGTAAGGGAAATGTTAAGAAACTATGTGGGATCGTTAAGGTCTACTCACCTGACATTGCTGGAGGGTTTGAAGTGAAACTGCTCGCCCTGCTCTAGGAAAATAGCTGCCCTTGTAACATTGGTCAAAAAAAAGCCTGATCTTGATCTGCTATATCCTACCATATAGATAGGTATCAGTTGGACAGCTGATAACTTAGTGCCCATGTAGTTTGGATTTCAAGGGTGAAATATCTTCTCTTGTGCCTCCCCTTCCATGAAGAAGTGGTTTGTCACAGCAGTGCTTCAGCTCTGATTCCATTTAGGGCTCAGCCACTGCCTGCTGCCACCGGCACTTCAGCCAGAGAACTCATTATTTTCGAAGGAGAAACAACCAAAAGCAAAAGAGTCCATACAGTTTGTCTGGAGGTGTGGTTGTGTCTTGCTGAAGAATGAAATATAATGACAGCTTTTCCTAGGTATGGACTTGGAATATACTGGAGAAATGGAGTCACTACAGCTATATCCAAACTGTACATGAACTGGTCAAAACAGTGGATGAAAGTCAGTACATTATGTAACCTCCTTCTGTGTGTCCATACTGCTGTATGTAGGACAAACGTGACTTCTGGAAAACACATCTTCTCCATGTCTGAGGCATTAAAGTGTTTCTAAGACATTCAACACAGTTATACAATAGGAGAAATAGCTAGACAAGGTGGCCATAAACACCATACATGTCGTTTCTTCTTTTAAAATACAACTGAGGGCCTTCATTTGTTAAGTCCTGATCCTCAGCTACTTGTAAAGGACTGATAGTTTTCCATGCAAAGGCAGAAAAATCTAGTTGCCTCGCTAGACTTTTTTAACCTCCAGCTGCCCTATATATAAGCCTTACCACAGATTGCCCATCGCCCTGACATTTTCCAGAGCTATAGCTCTCCCTGACTGTTCTCTTCCAGTTGCCTGGGCTGCTTTTCCTCCTCAAGCACCTTCCCCAGCATACACAGCAGATGCTGCGCCATGTGATCCGATGCAAAAGGACAGACAGGGATAAGAGGGGAAGTGCCAAAAGCAATAGCAATGTAAAAGGATTATGTTCTAAAATTAACAAAAATTTCTCAGCAGAAGACTGGTTATTGCTCTCAGTAAGTGAATCATTTTCACTGGATTGCTTCCATCTGCCTCTGTGCTGTGCTTTGTCATCTAGACCACAAGCAGCTCCTATCTACCTGAGACCCTAGCAGTCATCTTCTCATTTTAGCATTTATTGCCTGCCTGGCTCATCAGCACTTATGTCCAGAAACTATTTTCTGAAGTATGTCTTTCCGTCTGGAAATAATAATTTGCTGTGCCCTTAGGGAAGCTCACACATCCGTTGGAGTTATCCCCAGTATGTTCAACGACATCAGTATCACATGCTCCAAAGCAAACTCGCTAAACCTTCCTGTAATTCTCCAGAAAATGCCAATCTTTATTTTACTGAATGCTTTCACAGAAAGATATTTTAAAGTGATGCTAGCTCAACAAATAGATTTTGTGGACCTGTTTGAGTTGACCACTATATATTTCCTTGCTCAGCTCTTTCCACTGGAGTAACATCCTCATTTCTTTCTAATCATTATGAACATTGTCTGTGACCACTGTCCTCTCCTATGTTGGCCAAAGCTGAACCACCTTGCATTTAATCACCACTAGAATGGCTCCTTTTGTTACTGTCCTTGAGGCTTGAAAGGACCTGAATATGGTTATTTTTGTGGAAATATCTGTTCGAGTTCACCCTGTGGTTTAGTGGCAAAAGGATATCTTCAGTATTTGATCCACCATGGGCAGCATTCCCAGAGAATGTGCATGATATTCTACCAAGAGGGAAAGAAGGGGAAAAGAGGCACTGCCATGGGACAGTTACCACTCAACTGCAGACATTTAGGGCTGAAGCAATCCATCAGAATGCCTTTAAAGCATTCTAGGATATGACTCATCTGTTTCCAAATATCTGTCTGAGCATACAGTGAACTACATCACGGAAGTGCCTATTTCTTAGCATAAATCTAAACAAGGAGTCTCAGTTTTCGTTCAGATTATATGTTTACATTAGGTGAAGGGAGTTCCTAAATGTTTGATCTTTCTTAAAGAGATTTCTAGGTCAGTTTATCATTCCTGCAAATAATTTTTGGAGATCTTGACCAGAGAGACACTGGGGAGTGCACTCTTGCAGACAAGGAGTGCTTTGAGGAAGAGGAAGAGCCTCTGCAGCACAAGAGGGTGAAGTTTCTTATCTAAGTATTAGCAGTGCAAGAAGGTTGGAGTGAAGGACAAACATTCAGGAAACAGGAATTATTTATCCCAAATGTGTGAGATGGAAAAGAAATTTACAGATTGCAGAAGCATCCAAAATGGCCTATAATAATGAGTGAATTAGAAGAATCTGGATTTTTTATTTCCCTCTTGAATGGCATGAGGGGAATTTTAA